AGGAAAAGAGTTGGAGTTGGGGTCAGAGCGCAGGGTCAGCCACGATACAAGCGCCCCTGAAGCAGAGAGGGTTAAGGGCCTTGCTCAAGGGCCCAACAGTGGCAGATAACCACCAAGCCACCACTGCCCACACATGACTGGATCCATGTTAAATTGATGTGTCTTGTGTATATTCAGGAAGTAAATCACTAATGGTTAAGCATTCGAATTTAACTACGGTTTGTTCTATAGTGGTGTGTCACGTTAACACTTTCGACCAGCGCCACGGACCGCAAGAAGACGTCTTTTAGGTTTAGGGTTAGGTTCGAAACCCACAAGCCATGTCATCATTTTCTCTGATCAGCCCAGAGGGTAAACGAATAAAAAATCTAGAACCCCACCCCCGCCAATGAGTTCTCAATGAGCTACCATAAGGTTAGTAATTTATCTAAATGCACGTGCTGGGCTGAGCAGAGGATCCTCGGAAATACTTCGCCGGTCTGCTGGACGTCTTCTATAGATCTTCCCAACTTAACTCCTTAATAACTGCTGCGATGAATGAATTCATATCCAAGATATAACCTCCTATACTGAAGTGTTTTCTACAAACCTCGACCGATACAGTGTATCTCAAGCACAACGAATGGTGTAATTGTAGTCCCACTCACCTGAGTGCGGGGTTAAACTTTTACTATCCATTCAACCCTTTTTTGATTGTGGCAGAACTGTACCAAGCTGATATACACTCGGACAATGATCTGACAAATAATCGCATCAGTAATAAAAACACACTGTTTGGATCCTACCCATGTACCTGCATCCTCCTGTGTGGCATTAGTGAACGCTCGTGTATGCATTCATTCCTATAAAACATTTCATAACATAGAGTTGTAATAGAAACAAAAAAAAATGACAAGGTAACGTGTCTTCAAACCAATGTCTCTTGCTCATATTTGTTTGACTTGCATAATAAAAAAAAAAGAAAAGAGAGAGAGAGAGAGAAAAAATGGGAAACCTTGTTTTAATAAAGGAGATTTGTAACCAGTACAATGAATACTGTTATATACATGAAGCAGATTCAGAGTGCTTCTGTTCCTAACTAACATGGAATCCTGTCGAAGCTGCCCTTTTCTGATGAACAAGCGACTCTTAGAAAACGTTAGTACTCGTCTCCCACCCAGATTTCACAGGCGTTCTCCGGTCCAGCCCCCCCGCAGCACTCGCACGTCCGCAGGTGCACATGCCGTTTCCTGAACAGGATGTGAGAAGAGGAACAGGAAATGAAATGCGACCGTCTCTACATGACCTTCTACACTGTTTTCTTGGCCTTGAAGGTTGTGCGATGTTGCCTGTTGTTGTTGTTGTTTGATTCTTTTTCATCATTTGTAGTTCTCATTTATATGACAGTACTGTACCTGGCATTGTGAAAGGATTGTTACCGAGAAGTTTTTGAAGGAGAACCAGTGGCCTGAAAACACCTGGCTGGCTCGCAGGTGGAGGCTGCCTGTGAAATTGCATATCAGTCTGCTGAGACAAACTGTTCTGCTGTTGAATCTGTTGCTCCTAACCCTGCTGTTTGACTAGCCTGGATGCTTAAACCAGCTCATTCAGACATGCTGACCCACTGGGTCAGAACCGGGTGACTTGAGACCAGTTTTCGTTCCCTTGCCAGCTCACTTGCTTAAGCATGAAATGTAAAACAGTTCAAACCTATACTCCGACATACTAGTTCAAACGACTAGGTTTTGCACACGACTACTGATGTTTGCTAGTCTCCTTAGCAGTCATATACAGGTTATAAATTGAATTTCCAGCCTCAATGTTAACGATGAAGTCGAAGAACTTGTTGCAACGGATGGTGCAACATTATGATCGATCTGTGCATCATATATTACACTATTTAAGACCAAACACCTGCATGACCCACTGGGAGCGCGGCGTGGCGGGTTTGAAACACGCTGCGTAGACAAAACCAGCCCATGCCGCAGTAATGACCCACTGAACTTGTGTAACCCCAGTGAGCCACCACCCATAATTCTACTCTAAATACTCAGGCTACTGCTAACGGTTCCTGTAACGGATGACAAACAGAAATAGTCGAAACGATTTTAAACAGTCGTGACATTCTTAACAGTATTGATGAAGGAAAGAAACCGGTTAGGAACAGAAGATATCGGTGATTCGATCATTTAACTTCAAGGAGTAGGAACATGTCACTGTAGGCCTATGTGCATCTCTTAAGTACTCAAATCATTGACTATTTAATCTCTACCAGTTTATTTTGCACTGGTGCTGCTCGGTGGGTCGCTGCAGGTCTCGTAGCTCATGCTGAAGTCCAAACTGCTCAACGCTGGTCAATTTGTCTGCGTTTATGTAGTCGTGCGGTTCACGCACGCCACCACGTCGATCATGAAGGTGTTTGATCACACCGTGGTGTTCTTCTGACTTGTTTGGCTTCCCATACACTTGTGTACTGCACACCAGCTGCAATAACGCGCTGCTAACCGAGCATGTCGCGTGAAGATACGAGTTCTTTATTCCTATAATGATGGATGGAGGATGTGATGTCTACAGCAGTCTCTGGGAGGTTTTTCCGCCATGTTCAACTCCACCATGCTCTCAGTGGACTGGCTATTTTTGAGCAGGCATGCACCACAGGTCTGACTATAAATAAGCCGATTGGGATTGTATAGTGGCGTGCAACCCGCGGCTCAAAGCTACACTTTACACACGGGTCTGGAGTTCACTCTGCCACAGTGCGAAGGACTTACATTTTTATTTAGCTTCAAAGACAACAAAAAATGTGGGGGAATTCTTTGCCTGAACTCCACTTCATGCAAAGTGCTAACAGTACATTAAAGCAAAAAGAAAATAAGTTGACTGTAGAATGGGCTTCATCTTGTCTGAAATATTTTCGCACTAACAAAGTTTAAACCCCATCTAAATGAGATTAGATCTACGCCGTAAAAGTATTATAAAAGTATAATAAAAGTATTAATCGACTAGTTGACTAATCAATGCAACCCCTACTTCAGATCCGGTCTAGCATTAGCAGACACAAAACAAGCAGGGGCTTGTCAATATAGAGAAATATCTAATCCACGGGAATAGCAAATGTTGAATATGTGATTGAATGCAACGAATGAGGTTTTTTAAATGTTGAGGTGGAGGTTTTTACCCTTGGTGAAGATGCTTCACATAACTGAAATAACTGGAATTTTAATCCATGGGGCATGAAATCGAGCCCCGGTATTCCTAATACATTGAATTTTCCACATCACTCATCAATTTATGGGTAATGCGAATCTCAGCTGGAGAAACCATGAAATTTGTGGATGTGAAATTAGTATTCGTAACCTCCAGAAAACATTTTCTATCATTATGCTTATAAAGGTTGAGTGCATTACTGGTGCCTTAGGAGATGCAAAAACACTGCCTGCTTGTTTGTATTTGCATATTTGTCTACTGAAATAATAATAATAATAATAATAATAATAATAATAATAATAAAATAATAAAAGACAGTGTTCCCCTGTGCAAACACAGGAAGATGATTTTAATAATCATTATGCATATGCTAATTACTGCATACGCCCTAATCATGAATATGCTAATCAATGACATTTAAGAGATATTTATAAATTCCCTTTATTGTATATGTGTCACCTTGTTTCTAATGTTTGTGTCGAAGGAACAAGATAATTGGCTGAATGACACTGCAATAAATAATGAAGCCTGCTGAAACAATGAGTAAACAAAATCTAAAACAACTGTCCAGATGTTTTCAGGGTCAAGAATCAGAGCCGAAATGAATACTTATTGAGTTTTCTATCATCAGTGGTCACAAATGAGTTTTAAAGGAAATCACCACTGTCCCCAGAGTTCCCTCTCCGTTTGGACCCCAGCCAAGGCCATTAACGGGAGAGAATGAGGCAGTGAGGCTTTACTGATTGGACAGATCTGTCTCGGCTTGGTACTAAGCAGTTTAATCCACCAATGAGATTGAAGTAACGTTCAAACAACCCTCGACCTGTCACTACAACACACTGCAGTCAAACCAGAAGAAATGAGTGTGTTTGTAAGTGTGTTTGGAGGTGTTAAAAGTTGTTTGTTTTTGTGCCAAGACCGCTTCTGTTGTATATAGTAAACGAAAGGATCTCAACCAGAAGTAGTTATAGCTTTTAAAATCCTCACGAAGCCCAAAAGACAAACTGAATCGGTTAGGTTTGTGTCGGTTTCATATGTGGCACACGCCACATAACAACTTGATCAAAGCCTGACGTTCGGTGTGTGAGGAATGTACAGTCGACTGCAATTAAAACACCTTTGGTGTATACGCCGGCGCGTTTTAAAACTTGGTTGTTTAAAATAAAAACCTGGCTGCTTATGAACCGAACATGAACTCGGTTTAGAAAAATGCGAAAAGTTTAGAGCATTCATAAAGTTCTTCTATGAAATTTGATTAAAGTATGCTAAAGAGAGAAACACACAATTTTGGATTTGCGATGACATTTGACAGGTTTCCCTGGTTGCTGTATGTATAACTGTATACATACCTGTACAGATCAGGCCATCATGCTGGTCACACTCCCTGTCATCACATTCACAGAAATCGCCCTGAAATGTACCACTCCTGTGGTGAGCAGATGCACCTCCCACAGTGGCACGATCCTGGAAGCATATGATTGGGGGCTTATTATAGTGGCCTATTTCATATACTACATACTACTACTACTACTACTACTATACAATAATAATACTAATATTAATAATAATACTAATAATTATTATCATCCCTTTTCTATATCGCATATTCTACAGGATTGTGGGAACCTGGAGTCTATCCCAGTGAGCATGGGGCACAAGGCGGGGTACACCCTGGACAGGGTGCCAGTACATCATAGGGCACAATCACATACACACTCATACACCCATTCATACTACGGACACTTTAGGACGCCGATCAGCCTACCATGCATGTGTTTGGACTGGGGAGGAAACTTTGAGGAAACCCGCACGCACGGGCAGCGGGGGAATCGAACCCCCAACCCTGGAGGTGTGAGGCGAATATGCTAACCAAAACCACTCAGCCACCGGTGTGCCCTATTATTATTATTATTATTATTATTATTATTATTATTATTAGTAGTAGTAGTAGTAGTAGTAGTAGTAGTAGTAGTAGTATATTTATTCATTTTTAAAAAACATTTATACAGATTTCAATTACAGTTATATTCCAAAGACCCTCAGGTGACCTTCAGATCACAATCCTCACGCTAGCACAAAATACTTATTAAAATGAATTGTAGTAGCCACTTGAGCAACACAACTATGATCTCTTTTACATTTTCAATGCGCAGTCTAACCAAATGCCATCTCCTCTCCTGACCTGGCCTTTCCTATAAAAGCATGTAGCATCATGATGGCATTTCAAGGCCTGTCGGAGATGGGGAATAAAAAGGGTCGAAGGGGGTTCCTTGCAGTTGCAGAGTCCCTGTGTCTCCTTGTTTGTTCGTCAAAGCAGGAAAAGGTACGCTGCATTCGCTCCTAACTCCTATATACATTTAACGGATTTTCAGATAGACCTTAATTTGGTTTTGTGGTCTGCCTAGTAAAGCCTACGTGTGTGATCTATTTGGAATGGATGACGATAAATGTACTCGTCTGGATCTGCTCAATGGATCTCAGTGGATCTGCTGATACAGCTTCCTGTCTGTAGGTTTACTTTCCTTCTATCTTTTTCAGGGTTTAGAACGGAACTGTAGATAGGCCTTACTTTAAAGTGACTTGCATAACGCATGCAGTAAATGCCAAGGATTGTAGTAGCACAGCGTGGAAGGAGCCGGTGTGCTCTGTGGTAACCCTCTTCATCCATTTCCATAAAAGCGACAGTGCACTACAGACAACTTACAGTCTCTATGGTGCATTCTAACTTTACGGCATACACCTGTGCTTTTTATGATTGCTGCACTTCCATTGCAACGTGACAGGTAAAGTGGAGTGCCACAGTTGATCTCTCCCACCATTGCTGTCACAGATAAAGTGCAGGCACTGGAGAGCTCTGTCTTACCCTTTCCAGAGCACATGACCGCGCGGGGGCTGTCTGTCACGTATTCTTGCTCTGTTCGTCAGTCATGTTGCAGCTACGGGGAACTGGCAGTGCTTTCCAAACCATCCATCACTACAAATACAGCGGCCACAGGAGCAAAAGCCATGGCCTGAGGAAGGAGGACCACACACACACACACACACACACACACACACACAAACACGACACACACACGCGTCATTCTCCTCACCTATGAAAACAACAAAACTGTGTGACATGTTGCGTGATCTAAGAGCTAAGCAAATGCAATTGGTTCAAACAAACAGGTGCTGGATTCCAGGCTAGCTGTTGATGTTGTGGTGCTAGGCTTTAATCATAGTGACTCAGCTTGAGTCATAAGTCAACCATGGATCCGCATGAAAGTCTGGCTTGCACTAACATCTCAGAGCTGCTTAACTGTGCTATAAATGTCCCATATAATTCTGACAGAGCTGTTATTATTGTTGTTGTTGTTGTTAGGGGTCCGAGCACCAAAGGTGCTGGAAACCTTTGTAATTGGTTAAGATTTTTTCTCTTCTTCTTCTTTTATCATTATTACTGCATTAAAACGAACTGTGCAGATCAAACCATACAGTAAGTCGGGACAAGCACAAAACTTGGTAGAACTAAACGAGACAGCTCAGTTAACCTAATGGGTGGCGCTTATAGCACCAGTGGTGTTTACGTTGTTAGGTCCATACGGTCTCTCAGGAAATGTAAATCCTACACTTGGAATTCTTTTTGCATCTTATTCATTGGCCTTAATCCAATTCAGCTTGGCGCCGCCCAATGATTAACATAACGAGTCCTAGGTTTTTGGTCAATCTTCACAAATCTGGTGTCAAACAACTCAATGGAGTGTGAAGCTCAAAATGATCAAAAACAATATGTCATGGCTGAACACTTTACCAGTGCACAACTTCGGAAGTTGGTGTGTTGTTTTTTTTGTGTGTGTGGTTTTTTTGTGGTTGGTTGGTTTTGTTGTTTAGTTAGTCATTTGGTTGGATGTTTAGTTGGTTGGTTAGTTCTCTGTGTTGTTTATCTGGTTGGGTAGTTCTATTTATGTTTAGCTGTTTGGTTAATTCTGTGGTTGTTTAACCGGTTGGTTAATTCTGAGGTTGTTTGCTGGTTGGTTAATTCTGTGGTTGTTTAGCTGGTTGGCTAGTTCTATGGTTGTTTAGCTGGTTGGCTAGTTCTATAGTTGTTTAGCTGGTTGGTTAATTCTGAGGTTGTTTGCTGGTTGGTTAATTCTGTGGTTGTTTAGCTGGTTGGCTAGTTCTATAGTTGTTTATCTGGTTGGGTAGCTCTATTTATGTTTAGCTGGTTGGTTAATTCTGTGGTTGTTTAGCTGCTTGGCTAGTTCTATGGTTGTTTAGCTGGTTGGGTAATAGCGTGGTTGTTTAACCGGTTGGTTAATTCTGTGGTTGTTTAGCTGGTTGGCTAGTTCTATGGTTGTTTAACTGGTTGGGTAATACTGTGGTTGTTTGCTGGTTGGTTAGGTCTATGGTTGTTCACCTGGTTAGTTGTTTAGTTGTTTAAGTCATCTTTTTGATACAGCGCATTTAAAGACGAATGTTGGCCACAGCTGCACAGTAAACTCAAGTTCACCTGACTTTATTTAAAAACAATTTGAAACGATTATTCAAATTGTATACCGAACTTGTATACACCAGTACTGGATTAAAATGTGCTCACATTAAAACTTAATAAATAATGTATTATGGACCTCACCTCAGTAGACTTTAGTATATATTTAGTATATTCCGATTTAGAGTCTTCATTGTTGTTCCTCTCATACAGCAGTACAATCAAAGCTAAATAGGAATGATTCAGAAATACGGTTCATAGGTCCTTTTGAGTTTGGTATTGTTCATGTCTGTGGGCTTTACAGCTGGACAGTGGAAATGTGATGCAGGGGCTGTATGAGTGTTGGCAGGGAGTAAATGAAACACTTTCCGAAGGCTGTGAAAGCTGGAGTTTCTCTGTTGTTGGAGGGAGTGTCTGTGAATCAGTGGCAAATGAACAGTGAATAATAGAGTTCTACCTGCAGCTACTGCTGCATCCGCTCTCTCAAAAATTTCAAGGATTCCCCCGAGATTTAACCGGTCAGAGAAATGTATATTTTCTTGGATATTAAAGTTCAACTCAGTATAAAATGAAAAGACCTACGGTGAGGATATAGTAAGTGATACTGTCGTGTCTATTGGTTGGTTGGAAAAATGCTGAAAGAAAGAAAGAATGAAAAGAACCCTAGCTGTTCACAGGCTTTCTAATAATATGGTAAAGATTTGTTAGAGTTGAAGTTAAAATAGTATACTGTGTATATATAGGGCTGCTAAATGGTGCAGTAGAAAAATGTTCACCGGACATCAAATCCCGACAACTGTTCAGCCATCTGTAACCACGAGCCGAGGGAGCGATTGGCTGAGCTCTATGGGTGGGCGGGATGTGGTCAATGGGTCAATCACAGTATCACTAGACAATCATGGGCATATGTAAGCGAAGGAAGGTTGCACTTTCCTCTGAGTGTGTTCCGCCGCCCTGTGATGCAGCATGAGCAACAGTTTGAAAAACATGCCGTTGGCTGCCTCTAGGTGTCTCAGAGGAAGCACTGCCTTCACCCTACATGAGCAGTAGTTGTTGTGTGAGAGGGCAGAGCTAGCTGTTGAACAGGAATTGACTGGAATCTTCCTTTATCCACGCATTATTTTCAAGAGATGGGGTTTAAAGGGCTGGAGTGTGCAGTTGGTGAGGCTGCACGCTTGGTTGGCTCAATCAGTCAGCCTATGAGAGCATTTAATTGCTTTGGAAGAGTGGCACCTGACCCTTTCAATTAAACCGCATCTGGGATTCCACATTACCAAAACTGTGAACGCAATTTGCATGTGCGTGCTGCCTTCAAGCCTTTCATGTCTGGCTTTGGAGCAATGTATAAGAGAAATCGCCCTGCGTGAAAAATGCACGACGCCGAGTTTGAACACTGACACGATACTTGAGTACGGAAACATGAAATGAATTTACGAGATAGTATCATTGCTCACCGTGTCAAAACATGTACAAAACCCCTTATAATTTGAGTGCACACTTCTTTCTAAACGCTAACTCTCCAACTGAATCACCCAGACGATTAGCTGATATTAACTTTCCACCAGTGAGAGAGTCACAGGGCTCTCTGTAGTGGCTGCAGTGAGAGGAACTGGAGGAAGTGTGTGGGCTGAATCAGCGTTAGTGAAGGATGACCATGTTCCTCAGCTTTCCTGTGATAACATGCTCTAATCTGCATCAGCAGAGCTTCATGCATATTTAAAGTCCATTTTTCAGGCGTGCCCGAGACAGGCCAGTGGGTCGAGTGTGCCCGCCGGGCCCCTGTGCTACTGTCACTTACGCGTATGACACAGTGAACTTGAGGAAAGCGCACAGGATTAATAATGCATCCACCACCCAAAAAGAAGAACATCTGGCTCGGATTCTGCAATGCATCACGCCATGCTAAAATAGTACATACGGTCGCAACAAAACAGCTATTCGTTAGATTTCGTCTTTCCGATGAGACGTTAAAGCGATGCCCAGAGTCTCTGTGGTCATTTTAAATTCCCTATTGGCACTTATCTATCATGTCCCCCTAATAATCTCCATCCCCGAATTGGCTACATCACTCCCCTCTCTTCTCCACCAATAGCTGGTGTGTGGTGGGCGTTCTGGCGCACTATGGCTGCCGTCACATCATCCAGGTGGATGCTACACACTAGTGCTGGACCACCTGGTACACTTTAAATATATCAGTACTAACCAGAAATGGAGAGTAATCGCCAGAAACTGTTTCAGGTTGAATTGAATTTTATGGTAAAAAGTTGCCACTTTATTAGGGATACCAGAGCAGCCTGAATTCTTCGAGAGTCTGGTCCATGTTGACATGATTGCGTCACATAATAGCTGCAGATTTGTCAGCTGAATCTCCCATTCTACCACATCCCAGAGGTGTTCTACTGGATTATATGCTTCCTTTGC